ATTGCTTGTGTTCTATACACATTCTCATACTCCCATCCTTTTTCTTAACAAACAATACTAGGGCACCCCATGAAAAATCACTACATCGGATAAATCCCTTACCAAGAAGATCTTCGATTTAAGCCTTAAGCTCTCTTAATTCTGATGAAGCCATTCAATATGGAAGGAGGGAAATGGAATAAATATTCGCTCTAAGTTAGTACACAAATCTATATCTCTATCTGGAGACATACTAGGCAAGTCATTATGGAATACTTTCTTAAATTTAGAAACCACCAGAATCAACTCAATAGATAGATACTCTATCTCAACTTCCCTCACATGATCCAAATAAGTATAACAACCCTGTTCTACCAATTTACTATCCCCGATGGAGGATATAATCTTAGCTTGCTTCGACTTGTACATCCCTTCCCACTTTTCAGAATTTCTAGAGTTACCGACTAAGTATTACAATTTAATACAACATGATAGGGGGACAACCAAGTTATGCCTAAGATAATATCAAAATAAGTCATATCCAACATAAACAAATTATCTCAAGTCTGAAAACCCATAAACATAATAGTACACCCATGGTAGACGTAGGTGACTATGAATGACTCTCCAACTGGAGTAGAAACATGGATATGGGAAGTAAGTAAATCATAAATCATATCAAACATGGACGCAAAATAACACATTATCCATATGGTAACGGACAAGAATAGCACCTGTGATCATTGTATCATACGTCTCTGACTCATTCATGCCCAGAAGAGCATAACATTGAGCCCTATCATCTTGACGAGCTACTTTCCTGCCTGGTTGAAAACTACCTCTACCCGCAGTACCATTACCATTTCCTCTACCTACTTGACCTTTCTAATTACCTTTTCTCCTACTTTGTGGACGCCCTCAACCCTTATTACCATTCGCATAGGGTTCCACGCTTTATATGGATAGTGCACGGAGTCTAGCACACGCGAGTAGGGAAATCTCTCCTCATGTGTCCAAGTTCTCCACAGTTATAACAATTACGATCATAGGATGGTAATATTTTACCGCTAAAAGCGTGACTCTTTGGATATCTAGAAAATTATAAGACGAGTTTCCCGAATAGTTACCTGTAGAAGTGGTCATAGAGGACTAAATTGACTTGGCTGCCAACGTTGGCCTACTAGACTCGTTAGAATATGAGCCCTAAAAATTTATATATTCTTGTCTCTCTTAGCCTATGCCATGGTCTGACTGTCTTGCCTCACCCCCTCCACATTCTTCACATAGTCTGTAACCTCATTGAAGCTCCTTCCTGCAGAAGTCATATAAACATACAACTCTTGCAGCTCAGAATTCAATCCTCTAATAAACAACCAAATTTCTCCTCCTCTGTAGTGACCAGCTGAATATCATATCTAGAAAAAACATGAAACTTGGCCTCATAAGCAGCCACAACCATACCACCTTACTCTAGTGCAATAAATTTGTCCTTCTTGTGATCTCTCAAGGTCCTAGATGTAGAAAATTTGCACTCCATATAACCTCTACGACATTGCTTGGCCTCACCTTGAAGTTGGAATGACAAACTCTCAACCCCATGTGGTGAACAATACACAGTTTATGTAGTATCTCATAACAGTCTAAAATGAACTCATAAGCATCCTTAGTCTCAAAACCAAGAAATATTGAAGGCTTATGTTTCTGAAACTTAGTCAACATATCATGCTCATGCTAGCAATAGGAGGATTAGCAAGGACTTGAGAGGATGGAAAAATTCTCGGTTCAACCAAACTTTTCAAGAATGACATGATCTATTGAGCTAACACCATATCGATGGGAGGGATTCTGGTAACCTCAGCATCCACTCCTTTCTCGTGTTAAATTTCCTCAACATCTCCAACCTCGATATCCTCTTTTATCCCCTCATTATGAATATGAGGGTTCTCATTCACATAAGAATTCTCAACCGGTACCTCATTTATAGTAGGATCTACTCTCATACGACTTTACCCTGTAACATCTCACAATTAGAAATAATTACGAAGATGCTTAAAATTGGAAATAGTGATTTTTGGAAAGAATTGAGTCAACTTCAAACGGTTATAACTCCAAGATCATGATGAGTTTGGTGTAGTTCTAGTTATGGTTGGAAATCTCTTGGAATAGTCTTTCCAATGCCACCGTGTTTGCACGCTTCTGAGTTTGTATGACTGAGTGATTCCCTTTGAAAATTGTGCTATTGGAATAAGGAAGGTCAAATGTGGACTTTGAAAGGGTAGTTTGGTCTTTTACTTACCCGATTATTTTATTTTGATTTTTGTTAGTTAATTGGGGTCTGAACTTATATAAGTCAGCTTACGCTTTTAGAAAAACAAGTTAGGGTTTTGAGAGAGGATAAAAGAAGAAAAGAAAAGAAGAGAAGGGAGAAGAAAGTTCAAGATTCGTCAAACTCGTTCAAGATTCATACTCACACATTCAATATACTTCTGCCAGTTTGCTTGCGTCGTCTTATGATGTAGACACAGGTAACTAGGATTGACATTTAGCACACCGTTGATCCAGTCAGCAACTCGGAGTTAGTTGGTGAGCCTCATTTAATTCCATAGGACTCTTTTAATCAATATATTCATAGTTTTTAGTTGTTAGAATGATCTGGGGTCATGTCCCAACATCACCATTTGGTTAAGAGGCTTCATAAACAAATAGTATTAGTTCTTTAGTCTTATTTATTTTAGTTGTATACATTTAAGACTTGATTTGCCATTTTTTTAGGTTATTATTTTTTAAATTATATCATGAAATATATATCTTGTATTTAAGTCTTCCACTGAGTATGTAAGTCAGACCAAGGATTCTCTTGAGGCCAACAACGATTTTTGAGAGCCAACCACACCCAAAGTATAGGCTCGGGGCATGATAATCTTGGTATCATAGCATAGAGTTCAAGAGTCCTAGGGAGTCTATGAATCCAAATATATAGATTCCTAGTTATCGGTATGAAGCACGCCCCATCTATAATTAGGACGCTGCAACACTTAGGAAATTATCGCACTTCTTTCAGACTATTTTAGTGCGTAGAGTTTGATCTCTTAAAAGTTTCCCTCTAATTTGTGCTTGTGTGTGTTTTCAACTAATAATGCCTCTACGATGAGAAGTCTGAGGTCGTCTAACTAGGAGAAATGTGAGGCCATGCGGGTGTTGAGACAAGTTGTGACTAACTAGGTTGGGCAGAAAAAAGGGCCGACAAGAAGAGGCTGACACTTTAAAGATTCGTGAGTTCTTTAGGATGAATCCTTCAAGTTTCACTGGTTCAAGAACTACTGAGGATTCTAAAAACTTCATTAAGGAACTGAAGAAGGTATTTGATGTGATTCATGCTGCTGATACTGGGAGATTTGATCTAGCTACCTATCAAGTAAATAATGTTGCTAGGACATGGTTTGATCAGTGGAAAGAGGTAGACCTAAAGCATGCACCATCTGTGAGATGGACCTATTTTGAGAAAGCTTTCTTGGGGCTTTTCTTCCCGTGAGAATTGAGAGAGGCTAAGGTAGAAAAATTTCTTACACTTAAGAAAGATTCTGTAAGTGTGCATAAGTATGTGTTGAAGTTCAGCAATTAAGGACATGAGGAGTATAATGAGCTTATTTGTTGTTAGGTTGGCCCCTCTATCCAGCAAAGAGGATAGGGCAGCGATGCTTATAAGTAACATTGAAATATCAAGGTTGATAGATTATATGCAGCAGGTTGAGGAAGAGAAACTGAGGGATAGGGAAGAATTCAGACGAAAGAAGTGAAGGTGGGAAGCAGAAAGGTAATGTGAACCATTCGCCCTTTCAGCAAAAGTAAAAGGGACTTGCTCCATCATCTGGTAGTGCACGTGCACCCAAATAAGGGTGATTACAAGGGCCAAAATTTGTTAAACACTAGAGCTAGTACTACAGTGTGGCACGATAAGGTAACAGGCTCCTGCATTTGCTAAGTGTGGTAGAACTCACCCCAGTAAGTGTTGTGATGGCTAGACAGGTTGTTTCAAGTGTGGGCAAGAGGGTTAATTCATGAAATAGTGCCTTAAGAACAAGCAAGGTAATGGAAATCTGGGGAATTGATCCCAATCTTCATCACTTGCTCCACCAGATAGGCCTTTACCTAGGGGGACTACTTCAGGCACTAGAGGACGAGCAAGCCGCCTTTATGCAATCACTAGTCATCCTAAGCAAGAGAACTCTCCAGATGTTGTCACTAGTATGATCAAAGTTTTTGCTTAGCTAGACCAAGGAGCAAGTTTATCTTTTATAACCCCTTATGTTGCAAATCAGTTTGATGTTATTCTTGAGAAACACTATGAACCATTTTGTGTTCCTACACCTGTTGGGAAGTCTATTCTAGCTGAGAGAGTACATCGTGATTCTGTTATTCCATAAATCACAAAGACACCATGGTTGACTTAATTGAGTTACACATGGTAGATTTTGACGTCATTCTATGTATGGACTAGCTTCATACATGTTATGCGTCAATAGATTGTATAACTGGAGTTGTCAAGATTCAAATTCCTAATTATCCAGTCATAAAGTGGAGGAGTAGTTCAGTAATGCCTAAGGGTCGTTTCATTTCGTACTTTAATGCAAGTTTTTATCCAAGTTGTTTCATGATTTGTATCTCTTGTTTTTAAGTCTTTCGCTGAGTAAGAAAGTCAGGCCAAGGGTTCTCTTGAGGCATGCAATGGTTTTCGAGTTCCAGCAATGCCTAGGGCGTAAGATCGGGGTGGGACATACCCCTAGGTCTTCCACTACCCTACCTCGACCACGACCTCTCGCTGCAAGTTCCTGAGATGGAGCATTCACAGAGGTTGCATGATGAAAACCATTGAACCCTGTATTAATAATCTGCTGATAGAAGAGTGAAGTATGTTAGATACTGATTTGGATCGATAGATACCAATTGGAATCAAGTTATAAAACGAAGGAACAAGAGAGATATAAAGATTTTCTAAAGTCCTATATCCTCTCGAACAAAAGTAAAGGAGTCCATGTAGAGTTTTGCGAGACTCTATAAGACTTATTTCAGTACATCGAGATCAATCAACCTAGGCTCTAATACAAACTTTTTAATGACCCAAACCGCTGAGATTGGCACCTACGATGTACCTTCGATGAGAAAACCTCTACTACAACCCGAACCAAGCAACTAGACCAAAACTAAGGAAATTAAGTTAATTAAATAACAAATGTGAAATTTAAATACCTAGAATATTAAAGTCAATGAACCAAAAAATCTAACAAGATCCTTAAATCTAAACAAGAAGGGATGCATTCCCAATTGATAAACAATTCAACTATCTTAAACAATATCTAAGTCCGAAAATGATGAACATAGACGAAAGAGAACTCCATGGAAACCCAAAAGATGCGGCTCAACCTTGAAGTCGATGTAATGATTTATAGTCTCCTATGTGAGGTATCTCAATAGCTACTTGAAGATGCCCTGTGATCGAAGAAAATAAAACAAGTGCAGAATTAGTACACAACCACCCTCTGCTGGTAAGATCACGCGATTATCCCACTAGTGCAGTTTAAACAAGTCAAACAACATTATAATCATATGCACATACATAAACATATATAACATTATCAACATGACAATTCGACAACACATTACACATGCTTATCACAACTTTGGTCCTGTCACGGAACCCAACCCTAAATAGTTATCTTGAAGAGACGTGGCAATCGATTCCAAAGTATGCTGGAACATGGAAATCCATCCAATATTGTCTAGGAATATGGTAACCCGATCCAAAGTTATGTGAGAACGTGAAAACCGATCCAAGTTAGCTTGTTAGAACGTGTCAATCCAATCCCCATTAAGACACAAGAATCACAATCATAAGTATATCATCAAGATCATACATTTACATCATGATTTCATGGATACATCATTCATCTATCTTAGTTACAAAAAGTGTGATAAATATTGCAACATTTATTACATAAAGTATCACAATAAAAAAAACATGAATTCATCACACAATCATGAAATCACAATCATCACCTACCTTGAACCAAGCTTGAAACCCTAAGAAACTTGATCCTTCCTTTTCCGGATTTGTTCGCTTGTTTTTGGTCTACAAACAATTAATGACATACGAAAATCAATAAAAAAATCACTAATTTTTTTACCCATGATCTCTAGCATCTGGATTAGGGTTGTTTCCACCGTAAAATTTATCAAGAAATCCTTCCCCATCAACATTGACCCATTCAATTACGTTCTACGCATAAAAATCAGTTTGAAGATTTAAAAACTTACCTTTAGCCTCAAGAACTGTGAAAAATAATTTAGCGTCGCCTGGGAGTCGTTTTTTAGCTGTAAAAGTCAAAAAAATCCAAGAAGGTTGTTTAGGGGTTTTATCAACAACTTAATTTGCACCTGTCTTGAAACAATGGCACCCATCCCGTTGTAGCGATGCCGTTATAGTGCCCTGAAATCCCTCTACAACAGCATTTTTGAAATAGTGAGCCCTCCACATAAATCTACTATTTTATGTCCCATCTCATCCGCCACAGCGGACACCATCCCGCTACAATGGCATAACTCCCGCTACAGCGGAACAAAGTGAGCCAGAAACTTCTCAAAAGAATTTTCATTTCCCCTTTTCATAACACACTTTTAACCCATTATGCTCAGAAAATACTCATAATGCTAAGATAAATTCCTGGAGATATACCTATCCAAATTCGTTTCCATCAAGTCTTATGGATTTCTTAATGAGTTATCAATCTATTCATGATATCAAAATCACATTTACTCCACCCGATTACTACCAGATTTTCCTACACCTTTATGACTCCAATTTCCTTCAAATCTGAGCAAGGTTGAGAAAATCCTAATGCTATGAAAAAGTTTTTCTGGCCCCAATTTTACCGTTGTTGGAATTTCTATGAAGACGGAACCCAATCATTACACCTGCTACTTGTATAAAATCTGCAAGTAGTTTTGATATAATTGATACGGATAATTGGGGTCCTAATAAAACTCCCATTATTTATGGAAACAAGTAATTTTTGTATCATTGTAGATGACTACACAATAATGACTTGGATCTATTTACTTAAGTTGAAATTTGAAGCTTGAATAATAATACATCAGTTTCTTGTATATGTGAAGACTCAGTTTATTAAAACTATGAAGATTTGTTGAACTGATAATGACACTGAATTTAAAAATGAAACATGCACTACCATGTTTTAAAATCTTTGAATTCATCAAAGAACATGTGCCTATATTCCCCTCAGCAAAATGGTGTAGCTAAGAGGTAACACATGCATGTTTTGGGGGTCACAAGAACTCTTAGATTACAAGGAGGCATACCAATAAGGTTTTGGGGACATGTGTTCTTATTGTTGTGTATCTTTATTAATATACTACCATATTCTGTGATAAGAATGTCCCCCTATGAAAGGTTATATAACCACAAGCCTTCACTGTTACACTTGAGAGTGTTAGGATGTTTGTGTTATGCAAATATAGTAAATCAAACTAATAAGTTGGAGTCCAGAACCAGAACAATAGAGTTTATGGGTTATTTAGAAGTCCAAAAAAGCAACATATTGTTTGACTTAAACACTAAATCCTTTTTTGTTAACGGCAATGTAGTATTTAAAGAAAATGAATTCCCTTTTATTCTAAAAATAGTAGATCTACCATTATTTCAACAGTTGCATCCTGTAACACAAAACTTGGTTAATTCTTATCCTTTTTATATTTTTATGTATATTAATTTTGATAGTATTAATTCAAATCTTGAAGTTGCTCACACTGATGAAGATACAGGTAATAATTGTTAATCCCAAACCATGACTCAATAGGGTCAACAACCCACAAAGGATTTCACGTAATTAACTCAATACCATCAGGACATTGTGTACCCTATTTCTAATTACTTTTCATATGACAAAGTAATACCTAAATATCAAGTTTACTTATCATCTTTCTACTATTACAAAACCAACAACTTACTCAGAAGCTGTTAAACATCCTAAGTGGATTGAAGCTATAAAGGCTGAAATATCTGCACTACAGACAATCACATTTGGGGCATAGTAAGTGTACCAGAAGGAAAGAAGCCAATAGGATGCAAGTGGGTATACAAGATAAAATATAAAGAATCTAGTGAAATAAAAACATTCAAAGAAAGGTTAGTTGTAAAAGGGTACGATCAACAAGAGGGCAATGAGTATGACAAAAATTCTCTCCGGCTATTGCAACATCTAAACATTGGCATATTCATCAAATGGATATGCATAATGAATTTTTACAAGGTAACCTTTATGATGATATATATATATATGAAACTTCCTCAATGATTTTTGAGTCAGTAGGAGAAGAAACCACTATGTAGACTCATCAAATCCTTGTATGGATTGGAATAGGCAACAAGGCAGTGGAAAGACAAGTAGACAGAAGCTTTGAGGAACCTCAAATTCAAACAGAGTCAGTATAATCATTCACTATTCATACAAAAGTCTTAACATGGAACTGTAATAGTGTTGGTTGATATATCGTGGTTGCACGGTATCATTAATACTTTTTCCTTAAGTTTAGTGTGTCCAAAAGCCTTTTTGTGCTTATTTTTATATAAGTTTCTCTTTATTTGCAGGAAATCTGTCTAAAAGATGAATGCGGAGGTTTTAGAGCAAGAAATATAGAAAAGTACAACCTACGGAGCTTGTGACGGTTCGTTGTGCCGTGATGGTCCGTAGGTGGCATCATAGTGCAGCTGCAGAAGAAAGATGGGGAAGTTTGATAAAGTGTGGGGTTACGGAGTGCGTGACGGATCTCCGTAGCCATGACGCCCCATCCTGCTGGTTTGTCATGAAGTTCAGAGATGTAGTCCTACTACCCAAATTCCAAGATTTAAGTGTTTTGGAACGGAGACCCTCGATGGACCATTGTTCCTGTGACGATCCGTCATACCTGCCGTCGAGGGTAATGAAGAAAGCCGCAGAAGAAACTGCACAAGTATGGTATGACAGAGTTCATGACGGTCCGCCGTGACCACGACGATCCATCGCGAGGTCTGTCGACCCAGCTGCGTTTTAATAGATTTCCAGCTAATAGAGTCCTTATTTAATTAGGTTTTTATTTTTTATAAATAGTTTGAAAAACCTCATTTTTTAGGTTTGAACCTTGATCATTGTTAGACTATTGATTATTTTTTGGACTCTTTGTGAGACTCTTGGATATTTTGAGACTCTTGTAATTGATTGTTGGTAATTTTTGTTGATTAATCAAGCGAACTTTTTTCTCATTGAAGTAAGTACATGAATTCTTATACCATATATTTGAATATTGTGATTATGACTATGGGTAACTAAACTCCATAACTAGGGTTGTGGGAACCATAGGTGAATAATGAGGTGAAAACTAACTAAAATAACAATTCTAGAATAGTGTCTTGCATGTATTGATAATTCTTTCGTTTAGAAGTTTTTTTAACGGATGGCCAACTTTAGAACTCGCCTTAATGCTACTTGTCATACCAAGGAGGTAGATAATAGAAAATAATTATCAACATAGATTTAGTGTATACTATCTAATAGGCTAGTATTGATTGGTACGAGGTAATAACTTATTCAAATATCGAATACGATGCTTAATATGAGGTAAAGATAAGGGTTAGTATAGCAACACACGTAGTCGGACCAAGGTGCGGAGTAAAATTTTCTAGATGTCGGACAAAGGATTTAGAAATACATAACTTATCATTTTGCATACAAGATACTAGGAAAGAATTGTTATAGTTAGAATTATCAAGTTATGAACTTGTGGGGAACACGTAAACCCTAGTTACTTTTATTAATTGATTAAACTCCAACATTAGAAGTTGTTAAGTGTCTCCTTTAATTTTGCTAGTTATTTTCATTTATTCAGAAATAGAAAACCCCCATTTTATCATTTTTACTTTCCAAGGAAATAATTGACTGAACAATAGTAATAATAGATTGAAGTTAAGTCTAAACTATTTTCCTCGTGGGAAAGATCCCAACCTCACTAGTTGGGTTATTTACTTGACACGACCGCTTTACTTCTTATTTGAGAAGTAAGTTTGAGCATATCAAATTTTGGCGCCGCTGCCGGGGAAAGTAGCTTTTTGATTAACTTAAACTTATTACTTTATTTTAGTTGATATTTTCTTGATGTTACTTTGTTTTATTATTTTTGATTCTTGTAGAACCATCTTCCTTGTATGCCAAATACACGGAGAGGAAGAGAACCCTTGTTTCCCTACGATCACGAATTAGAGTGTACACTACGCAACATGAATCGAAACTTGGGAATCAATGATGATGATCCAAACCAGAACATCCCAGCTCCGGTTGATGTTCATGTTCAATTGTTACCTGATGCTCCGAGTGAACACCAATAGAGGGGACAAAATCCCGTACCACGGCCCCAATAATACTACAGAGGCTATGACAATATAGCAGACTCCAACGGGCCACTTGTTTCGCCCCCTCTACCACAAGGCCACACCTTTGTGGTAACTTGTAGACTGATGCAAATGCTCAGTGCTAGAGGTTTGTTTTCAGGGCTACCTTCTGAGGATCCACATGCCCATATAGCTATGGTTAGGGAAGTGTGTAAAAGTTGTGTAGGGAGGCCTGACTTGGACTTGGATGTAATAGAGCTAAGAGTGTTCCTCTCTCACTAACGGGAGAGGCTACTATATGGTTCACTAAGCTTCCTTACAACTCAATTTTCACTTGGAACCAACTAAGGGACGTTTTCTTAGCACGCTACTACCCGGTCCCCAAGAAACTAAACCACCAAGACAGAGTGAACAACTTTGTGGCACTACCAGGAGAGTCAGTTAGTAGTTCTTGGGATAGATTCACCTCATTTTTTAGAAGCGTACCCAATCATCGCATAGATGATGAGTCACTGAAGGAATACTTCTATCGAGGACAGGATGATAATACTAAAGCCGTGTTGGACACTATAGTAGGTGGATCTTATGGGGAGTGTCCATATACTGAGATTGCTGAAAAATTAGAGAAAATCTCCCGGAATAATAAAGCTTGGAGTACTAGGAAGTCAGATATCGGGAGAAATACCTTCGCA